ACATATATTTCAAAGGATTATTTTTCTATAAATGAACTGAAAGAGGAAATAATAAAGACGTTATGATTATTTTTTTAACCGTAGTTTGCGCTGGTCAGGCCCTATCCCCCGAAGCCCCTATACATTCGGGAGGGTGCGCCAGCATTATCAACCAACGACCACCCCTCACACCGTGGGGTAAGTCATCATTGGCTCCGAGAATCATGTGCCCTGAGCAAGCGCACTGAGCCAAGAATGACAGCCTTTTGCATCTGTCAGGCTAAGATTTCTGCCTTAGTACTGCAAGATTCGAGAGTAGAGAGGACATCATTCCTCCAAGGATTCCAATAATCAGAACAACCATCCTGACAGAGTGGTCTGGATAGAGTCTGCGGAGTTCGTTTTTCCCCCTCGTTTCGAACGATGTTCGTCTCGCCAGGAGCTGAAAACTCCACGACAAATATCGTCTTCCTCTGGTGGTCGAGAAGACTACCGGAGCGAAGGGCAACACCGGAGTCTTGTCAATACCGTAAGAGTGAAGTAGATGGTAATATAGCACTCTTAGGGCCGCGTTATGTCGATGGATATAGGCCGAGACCACATATGCTGGACATGCTAATAGCATGTGGTTTCCTCTGTGGTTAAATGGTTAAAGGTTCGTTAGTAAGTCCCAGTCATAACATAGTCATAACTATGTATATTCTACCCCATGCTGGAAATCACAATGGTTCAAAATGGGTTTTTCATCAACCAGCTACCGTCCCCGTACAATCGACAACCCTCAGAAGTAAGTGTAAGCTGATAAACAAGGCCTTACCTTTAACGTGTCAATATCAACACATTAAAAAGTAATATCCCGTTAGTCCTTAGCTTGAGCGTAGTTCGTATGAGGAAGACAGCTGGGTAAGGAAATACTCAATTTAGTGATGCTAAACAATTCAAAATAGCGTGATTGACAATGTTTCATGATGAATTTTATTATTTCGGACTTCCACTGTCTGATATTATATAAAATGATTTGAAATCCCTGAAAGACCTAAAAGAAGAATTAAAAACGAGAATAGCTGAAAATAACAATTATATTGAGCAAAAAGAAACTGAAATGAAATAACAGTGAAATAATATAGTAAAAATAGAGCAATTGAACAAAAATATAAATAAAAAAATCAAAAATTAAGAGATTCCAAGCCAAGTTACTTCACGACGTTTCGATTGTTAGTATTTACAATCGTCTTCATAAATACCTAAATTTACGGAATTTCAAATAATTTTAATGGAAGTCCGAACTAGTGAAATTCAATTCAAAATAGATTTGAATGTTTTGAGATCCATATTGAAAACATTTACGAATTGTATGGCGACAATTGAAACATTATATTTTCCCAAAATTTTGATCCCGACCATTTTATCACACGTCTATATCATTTTCAATTCAGACTAGTTTTTTGACCATCTTATTTTCTACTATGCGTAAACAACATTATATAGTGTAGTTGATTTCTCATATCTATATAAGTTTGTATTCCTCTAAACATATTGGTTGATAACGATCCATTTATTTGGTCATAAAACGAAAATAAACTAATTGATTTTTGTCAAAACATTTATTCAACGTCCGTGACATTAATTTGTTTACATTGTTACGTTACCTTGGATTACAGCCGATAATTTAATGACTAATTGAAATTGAAAATTCTGTAACAGTTTCATTGAATTATTTCCAGTAAATTCATACAAATGCTCGGTGCTATTGTCATATATTTTACAAGAACCGATCACTGATAACAGTATATTCGACAAGGATAAGTCTGTAAGTCAGAGAGTAATAGATTCGCCTTAGACATATTTTACTTCTTGTAATTTCATTATATGTAGCTCTTTTTGGTGCGTTGTAGACCTGCCTGCGTTCCAATAGAACTTACCGTGGTTACTTTGGTTAACCGCACACAGATCGAAATATTTTGGTTTGCAACGTTGTGCAGTGTGTCGCAGTCGAAGCGTAAGGCTGACCGAGACAAAATGTGTCGATCGATTCTAGCTAGCTGCACACAGGTCGAAACCATTCGTTTTGACAGAGACAGATAGGAGAGAGCCAGCCTTAGACTGGCCTCACACAGATTGAAACATTTTGGTTCGCAAAGTTTCTCAGACGAAGTCAAAACGATTGTAACGAATCTGAAGCCGCTCCTGACTGATATGCCTGCCAGCGAACAAACACGTGACATCACCGCAAAAGGAATGCAGTTGGCAACCGCCGGTAAAACTCTATTAACGAACCGATTGCAGATTTCTAGAAATGATCGTTACCGATATATAAGCCCGGCTTCCCGAATGGTTAAACAAGGAATTCAAATAGTGGAAATAAATTAGACGTTAGTTGCTAAGTGTTGTAAATAAGTTAGTTTGTGATTAGTGAAATATTATTGGAAATAAATTTGTTTAAGACAGTTGATCAATGAATTTGTTACACGATGGAAACTGGACAAAACATTAGTGCGAGTTGTTGTACGACGTTTAGATGTCAACTATCTGGAATAATTCTCCAGTCAATTTTTCTTGAAACCTTCGAACGGCGCACGCACTTGAAGCAGATTCTTCTGATTTAAGGAGTGCTTTCTTTCCAGTGGTACCTCTAACAATTGTTATCAGCTCCCACAACAGAATGACAACCTATGCTTCCTCGCCCATTGCTTAATTTAACACACAGTCGGGCAGGGGTCAAAAAAGTTGTTTCGAAACAAAACAATTTGCTTCGATACAGACAGTAATAGATAAATAAAAACAGCCAGCACCTCCACGGAGGGAACCCCAAGAAGGTTGAAGAAGCCGCGCAACGACAGTAAAGTCGCTGCACTTTCCAAAACCTTCGCGGAGACCACCGTAAGACACATCAAGGTTGCCAGTGTGTGTTCGGCGAGTCTTGGACTACACCTGCCAATATAAAGGAGATGTCTCCTAGTGACCTGTTCACCTTCCTGGAAAGGACAGGATGGACGATGACTTAGGAGGACAACTCCTCGGGAGGATGTACAATGGGTCACATGTGACCTAAGTGCTGTGAGTCTACACTCACCATCCCTATTCTACAGATACAGAAGAGCCAGCTCTTGGCTGACCATACACAAATCAGAACTTTTTGGTTCGAGTCAATATTTTTTAACTCTACGAATCGATTTCCTCGATAGATTTTTTTATGAAATTATATGACTATTCCACAGGTATTCCACTTTAAGTACTTCAAAATATTCCACAAGATTTGGTAAGTGGTTCCAAATTATTGCCAAATAGGGCAGACAAAGCAGTTTCTCTCACAAATTTTGTTTTCAATAAATTTTAATACAATAGGTATCACGCATATGTTTCAGTTTCAAAATCGTTTGATTTCAACATGTATATTACCCGCATGAAAGTTGAGATAATTACTTGGAGTTACTACTTTTAATTTCTTCAAAATGTCCAATTTGTAGACCTGACGAAAAATGAGAGTAGAGAACTATTATTATCATAGTCACTAACTTTGTCTGCTAATAATCTTGCTAGGGATATTAAAATAATTACACAAATAGGCCATAATAATGGTTTCGACTCAGACACAATCCAGAAGTTAGTCAGAAAACCAAGCCGTAAATTCACTTACAGATTAATATACCCCCAGATCAAACAATCAGAACAGAGATAATTGCGGGTTTCTTCAGAAAAAACAATATGGTAGTGGCATTCAGACCATATGCCAGGTTATCTGATTTCCTTTTCACTGCCAAAGATAAAGTGGACAAGTTGGAGTTTATAAGCATACGTGTCCGGAGTGTAAAAGTGTTTATGTGGGACAATGTGGTCGAAATTTTTCAAAACGGTATGCTGAACATGAAAGGTCGTTCAAAATAGGTAAAAATAATTCGACATTTTCAAACCATTCCTTGGCATGCAACCACAAGTTCCCGAATCTAAACGACACGGAAATGTTGCACTATGTAAGGAAGGGTTAAGGGTTGCAAACAAAATTATATAGAATCCTTGGAAATTCATAAGCATAAACATTGCGGGTGCAACCTGTTAAATGATCGAATCGATCTAGTTTACTCACCGGTTTTCAAATTAGCGTATCCACATTGTCACAAGCAAACAAAATTCAGGTACTGAATTAAGCTAAGTACCTCAATTATTACCGACAGGGCTAATTAATCAATCAATTTCAGTTTAATGTATAAGTTTGAAAATGTCCTCATAGCAGGGGAGCCCACGATGCAAAATGGGGATTTACTCGAGCTTCATTGAGACATGTTACGTTGCAAAGCTTAGATAATAAGAAGAAAAAAATGTTATATAATATATACCTTTTCATCGGTGGGGGAAGCGGCTATAGATTTTGAAATNACCACATAGTAACTAACGGCTGCATTCATCAATTTTATTATTATTATTGTTATATAAGGGTTCAAAACACTCCTAACTTTTTTTAATGGACGTTTTATGATACTTCGTTAAAAAAATCAGTAGTTAGAACTATTTAAATTAAGAACCTTTTTTGTAGTAAAGGAAATGTTTATGCTGTACACCCCAATATCGATAAAATTGTGAATAATAAAAAAATATGGATGCCTGAAAGTCATATCCACCAGAGAGTACACAAAAATTTGTTTGGCAGGATTATGATTCAAATATTATTTAGCGAAAACCCAATGGAAATTCCGTTGGACCTTTTATGAAGTCATTCTAAAAAAAAGTTTCACGAATTCTCCAGAAATTTTACATAATTTTAGGAGAGTATTTCACCTTTAGTAAATGGCGAATATTCCAAGATTTCATTATAATTAGGCAGTTTTATTTACAAAATCAGTTTTTGATTTATTTCAATTTATCAAAGAATATGACAAAACATATCTTATATACCATTCTAAAAAGTCCGTATTTTAACTGCGTGTTTTGAAATATTGCCACTAGAAAAAAGTATATATACTTTTGTGAGTGTGTCCACTATTCTGCTATGATTCGTCATTTCACTCGATCCTCTTTTGTTTCAGATCTCACACAATGGCCGATACCAGTCAGGCGGAGCTTCCGCCACAAACCAACGGCATTTCCGACATCGACGACGAAGAAAGAACCAAAATGAGACCCGTCGACATTGACGCGGATGTGAAAGAGATGGAAAGAAGGAAAAGAGTGGAATCGATCATGAACAGCAGGCTGTTCCGGGAAGAACTCGAGAGAATAATAGAGTCGCAGCTGAAGGATGGGTCCGGACCGAGCGGATTGCTTCAGCAGATTTCCGACATGGTCGGCGTGAACAAGCAATCTGGAAACGTCTTCAAAAATTCCAGTTGCGTTATTCCCATCAATGATATAAGAGGCATCGAAGCTATGGGGTACGCTAAAGGAGAGAAGCTTCTGAGGTGTAAATTGGCTTGTCTCTACAGGTTGATCGATCTGTACGGGTGGGCTCATGGCTCAAGTACACTCATAACTGCCAGGTAAGAAAATATTCGTATTACCTCTTTAAAGTTATAAGTTTTTTTTTTCAAAATGACGAACTGTAGGTTGTTTACAACCGAAGTATAATGGATATTGGAAAAGTTGTGTGCGCCCAAGTTATTCGTAAGCTCTTCAAGAGGTTCGAATTCCATTTTAACAAATTTGATGAAGCTTTCCGGTTTTTTTTCTAGTACAGTGCTGTTTCCAGACGTTACGAATTTTCTGAAATGAGGAAAGTTAAACTTTCACGGCCAAAACTGAAATTCGAAATTTGCTGGGTAGCTATGTTCCAATGGAGAGATTAACTACGAACGATTCGCCCATAACTACACTACGATGGGTATTTCCACTCGTTGACGAGTTCACAAACGTTCGGAGTTTTTATCCATATTGGAACACGGCTACCCAGTCCGGATAACTAGTTCGAATGGAGAAAGTTATTTCGATATAAGGAACAGTGTTGAAATCAAAGTATATATGGGATCGATTCTACAAAACAACAGTGCGACATGATGGTTTTCATTCAACTATTGTACATTCCTCTGTAAGAGGGCGCTTCATCATATGTACTTGAACGAGGGTGACAATAACAACCCGCTAGAGAAAACAATTTGAACTAATTCGGACGAAAGTCTGAAAAACTTGTATCTTAACTGAACCTGGACACTTAACAAACTTTGAATGCTTAATACCGCACATCTGGCATTTCAGCCGTATTTAGATACTTTAATTTCAACAACCTCATCAGCAACTACATTCCTAATAAAGTGGTGTCTGACATCTATATGCTCGGACCGTTTGGGAATACTGGATTCGGGTGCAAGCTGTTGAGCCTCTGATTATCATTATACAACGTAACTGTATCCAATGTATTTCCTGTGAGCTCATACATACAATTTTTCAAGTAAATGGCGTCTTTTGACCCTTCAGCTAGTACCATATACTCCGCGTCTGTGCTTGACAAAGTAAAGTTTTTTTTGTTTTCAACTACCCCAAGAAATAGTTTCCCAAGAAAGTTGAAAACAAAATCAGGTATAAGACTTTCTAATAAATTGTTCACTGACCCAATCGGTATCAATCAACCCCTCGAGCAAACTCTCTAAACATTCATTGTTTACTACCTATTAAGTATTTCAAAACTCTCTTTGCTGCTTTACAAAGTATTTCCCCATAACAATTATTGAACTGACTAAGGTAACTCAGCGCAAAGGATATATATCAGTTCTCGTCATATTTGACAAATGCATTAGACTATCATTATATTATCTTAGATTGCAATAGACATGTTTCCTTTAGTTTTAGTTGAGTTTTTTGAACAAATTGTTGCTAGGTTAGGTTAAGGGTTATGGGTTACATTTTGTTTCAATAAATATAATGGCTGTTAAATGGGCTGATGTCTATAGTTAGAAGTATACAAGCGATTCATTTGCTGTGGCAGTTAATAGCTTATCACAGCTATTTCATGCAAACTGGTTCCAGTTTACACATCATAATCCAATGTTCAGATAAATTTTTGACTAAGTACTTCCCAACTATTTGAAAGCTTCCTCCCATTCAGAATGGTAGCATGCTTTTGAAATTATGGAACTTGTACTAAACATGTTACTCAAAGCCAGTTTCATCCTCGAATATATTTTGAAGGAAGCCCTTCTAATGCTCATATGAAAGACTGTCAGATGTCCAATGGACAAACTACAATGTTACCCCTCTTTTCTTTTGTAAACAATGGAGAAAATGAAAAATGTTTATGTAAGAAGCAAATTTCTATCAGATAAACAAATATCCATTTCTTTCGTGGCAAAAGACGGATTGCAAGATATTTACTGGCAATTGGACCTATATCACGTACTTATTTTTCACAACTCAATTGTCAACGTGTCAGCGTTGCCGATCTGGACCTAAACCAAAACTGAACTGAAAAGTAAGGACTCGACAAACAATGGTTCTTTACGGAACTCAGCCTACATTTTCCACGGAAGTCAAATGCTTGGGCGTGATCATCGATAAAAAAATTCGGATTAATCACATCTCTAAAGCTACAGCGGCAGCCTGGAATGCTGTAGAATATTTGAAGAGACGTGGGGTTTGAAACAAAAAATTATGTTCTCACCTACTGGTCGTATGTAACGGCCATCATATATTTGGTTACCTATGTCTCATTAATATGTTGATACAAAATGGAAGAACCATTAGCTTAAGTTGTGAAAGTGCAATGACTGACCAATTTGGGAGTCGCACAAACAAATTTTACGTGACCCACAGCTGCTTCGGAGAACATGTTGAATCTTCCACCGTTGTATAACGGTGTTTTGTTAGCCACGATTTCGAGGTGAAGTTTGAAATGGTAATAAATGAGTGCATCACACGAGCCGCAGCTAGGTACGAATACATTGGTATGATAGTCTGTTCAAAATCTGTTGAAAAATCTGTTTTTCCGTTAACCAGCTGTCACACCTCTACGAACGATAACTCTCAAAAGTCGAAAATTGTACTAGCAAAGGACTGACGAAGTCTTATCTTTTAACGTGTGATTCCTAACACCGGTTGGACGATCGTCGGGCTTTGCGGTTCGAACCACCGGAGCAAACCACCCACGTCAACGCGACCGGCTACCGTCCCACCAGATGGTTTCAAATGGATTAAGCGGTTGGCACGGTAATGATAGAGCCAAGATTCTAGGTCTTCAAAGCAATTATAAACACCCATTTTTGACTTGCTATAAATGTTTGCTCGGGAGTATCTGGAAAGAAGTACTCGTGGCGCACAGTATTTCATTAGAGTGCCATGCAGTACTGAAAGCTCGGAAGTCATTTACTTGTGAGTCTAAACCGACCCATTTTCATGATATTTCGGAAAAACTATTTTTTTGCAAATAATGGGGCTGTAATTAAATATGTGCATTAAAGGATATCCTTGATTTTTTTTTTGTTCCTTTGGGAGTTGTCTGACTTTTGTCCATTTAGTCCAAGTTTCCAGAAATCACTGCAGCGCCTCTTGGGCTTATTGCGTTTATTCTCCCATCTTCTCATGACACCCATTCCATCAGTCTCGTTCCCTGTACTAGTTTGTATAGGTTCCGTGTTGGGTGTTCGTTATATTCTTCTGGATGTAATTTTGTACGTCCATATATTGCCTGCCTCTTGTGATTCAGTGCCTCACATTCGCATAAGATGTGTAGAGCTGTTTCTATCACTTCTATCTGCAGCTGAGGTCTCCGTTGTCCACCCCCATTTTATTCAGGTGTCCTCTAAGCGGACAATGACCGGTTAGTAACCCTGAAATTATTCTGAACCGATTCCTACTATATTGAAGTAGTTCTTCGGTTCTTTTCTCGTACGGTTCCCTAATGAAGGTTCTACTGTGTTTGTTGCCAGATACTTTTGTCCAGTACTCTGTGTGCTTCTTATTGGTCCATGTCCTAATCTGGTTTCGTACCAATGATTTTGGTACCCCCAGAGCTGGTTCAGGACCTAGATATGAAGTTGATGATCCGCGTCTAGCGCATTCATCAGCTTTATCATTACCTGTGATTTCTGAATGCCCTGGCACCCAGTACAAAGTTAATTTGCTCCTGTTTGGAAGTTCCATCAGTTTTTTATGGCATTCCCAGACCGGTTTTGATGTCACCTTCCGGTTTGTCAGAGCCCCTAGTGTGGTCTTACTGCCTGTTAAAATATAGATCCGCTCATTTCTTTGAGGTCTCAATTTAATAAGCCTTGCACACTGCAAGATAGCATACACTTCCGCCCGAAAGACAGATGTGTTTCCCCTAAGCATGCAGTCTATCCACCTACAGCTTGTCTTGTCGATCCCTCTTCTCAACGCATATCCTTGACTTTATTTCACTCATTCTTCAGACTGATGGGATCTCGACGATATCGAAAAATGCATATCCTTATTGAAAAAAATAAAGTTGATGATGAAATCTAATGAACGAAACGTTGCATTGCAAATTGGTTTATATTGGACTAGTTGTTGCCCGCGGCTTAGCCCACGTAAAATTTGGTTTGTCACATTATGTTTCGTGACAGACCATTTTTTTATTAACCCAAAACTTCAGATTTCCAACTTCAAAACTGACGAAATTCAATACAATCTTTGAACCCCTATTCTTCCCCGTTGGAGGGTGGAAATTCCTGATACCTTTTCTTGATGCTTATTTACGCTAAACAAAGAACCTACCTGCATATTTCAAGATTCTAGGTTCAGTAGCTTCGGCTTTATGTTAACATAAGAGGAGGCAACAGCTAGTAATTTATATTTTTACTTTAAAAATACAGTAACTGAAAAAATATGCCAACTGCACTAGGTAATGAATAGCTTCGAGAATCGAATTATGTTACCTATAAAGAAATTCGCAAAACTAATACAACCATCAACGACGTCCTCACGCATCTACCCGCATTCGGTTCGCGTTCTCGGCGATTGCGCTTCACTGCTTAGACCGCCCTTCCACACCCGCGCATCGTCCCCCGTCGTCTTATAGTAGACGCGACGCGTAATGGCTTACTGCTTTTTTTTAGTGAAATATTTAATTTTTTCTTTTTCTTTTAGGTTGAACCAGGACGATGAGCAGTTTTTGGTCAACCCTTATGGAATGTTATTTCATGAAGTAACTGCCTCCAGTTTGATAAAAATTGATATGCAAGGTGGTGTTATCGAACAGGGCACCACGAACTTTTCGGTAAACATCGCAGCATTTTCTTTGCACGCCGCAGTTCATTCAGCTCGACCGGACATCAGATGCATCATCCATGTTCACACACCTTCTGTCGTAGCCATATCCTCGCTCAAACACGGTATTTTGCCCTTGAGTCAGGAATCCGTCGTTATCGGTAAGAATTCATTGTTATCAAGCTAATGTTACTGAAAAAAAAAAATAGAATTTCCAAATTTGCATGTGGGTTGTCAACTTTTGAATGTTTCTTAAATCAGTGAGCTATGCTTGAAGACTGGCAGTAAACAAATCTAAAGAAATTAACTTTAAATGTTCAAGCTAGTCTCGAATATACCTACACAGTATAGGTTTAATGGACTGACGCCTATCACAGAAAATTTCCTGCATATGCAGTTGAAACTGAAAGAGTCGACCTTCAATTTTGGAACGGGCACACTTGCAGACCGGTTTCGGGCTCCTTAGCCACTCGTCAGGTAAGATAGTGACCATCATCGACCTAAAGTCAATGATATTGCATAATTGAAAATCGAAATTCTTTCAGAGTATTTCATTCCTCGTCTTAAGTTGGAGCGTCCACTAAATGGAGTGACATTTTTTTTGTATATCCGAGAGTGGCTTGAACATTTAAGGTTCATTTCTTTAGATCAAACTTTTAAATGGTTACATACATAATGATTTGAAAATTTAATATGTAGCTAACTATTTTTTGGCATTACAACCAAACAAAATCAACATGCTATCGATTCGTTTTATACTATATGATCGTCAACAGTTCATCAACATCAATACTTTTATCAAAAGTTTCTTATTTTCTAAGATATGCTGAATTATCACTACGAATCAAAACACTCACTACTTGATTGTGACTTATTCCTTTAGCTAGTTTTAACAAAATTCATTTGAAAAAACAATTGTTTTCAAACTTTCTGAACTCGTTCAAACCTTGATATTTCAGAATCAAGTTTAGTTTATTGAATACTCTTCAATTTATTGATATTTATTCAATATTACGAAAGTGTTTTTCAGCAAAATTTTATTTGGGTGTGTATATATATGGGTATATATTAGGTTTTTTCAAAAGTTTTGTCAAAGGAAAACAGACCTCGAAACGTGACAATTTTTGTCGATCGTTCAAATAGTGGGGCACCCACTGTGAGAGCTTTTCGACATTTCCAATACGTTTTGAACCATCAAAAACCGCATGGGAGCTGACGCCAGTTCTTCCGCCATCCCACGCACAGTTTGTGATGGGTCAGACTCCACCAAGGTCCTCAAATCCTTGTCCTGGCATACTGTAGTTGAACCACTTCGGGGCTCATCTTCTTGGCTAAAATCTCCGGAACGAAATTTGGCAAACCAACGTCGAACAGTGCATTCAATAACACTGTTGTCAAATGCCTGTTTGATTTTTCTGTCTATTTCGGCAGCGCTTTGGTTCAATTTGAATTCGTGAAGAAAAGTTGGCCGAAATTCGCTGAACGACGTCATATAGTAATAATCTGTAAAGAGGCAAAAAATAAAAATTTTGAAAAAATGAACAGCATCAATGCATAGAGTACAAAATTCTCTATTGATCAGTATACACCATGACAGTAGAATAAATATTTATTGAGATATGAAGTTACAAAAACACATGACTTTTAAAAGGACATTACTTTTGAAACAACCTTTACTCAATATGAACTACTGTGTCAACTGAACCAAACATATTTCATTATTTTCTAGGTGAAGTCAGCACGCACACATACCTCGGTGGTCTTCTCGACCCCGAAGAAAAAGACAAACTAGCCAGAAATCTTGGACCATCGAACAAAATCCTTCTTCTTTCCAATCAGGGAGCCCTATGCTGTGGCGAGACTATAGAAGAGGCGTTCTTCAATGCCAGAAACACCGTCCTAGCCTCAGAATCACAGCTCAAACTCCTGCCCATAGGAATAGACAACTTAGTATTGATCAACGACGAAATTAGAAAAAGAATTTATGATGCAGCACACAAGCCTCCGGAAAGCACACCACGACCTGACCAGCCCTCCATATTAGAGTCGAAAGTTGAGAGAAAATGGAGAGTTGGTGGGGTGGAATTTGAGGCTCTGATGAGGATGTTGGACAATGCTGGTTTCAGAACGGGTTATATTTACAGGCATCCATTGGTGAAGGGTGATCCTCCAAGACCTAAAAATGATGTGGAAGTACCCCCGGCAGTTTCTTCTCTGGGATATTTGCTTGAGGAAGAAGAGTTTTACAAACAAGGGTGAGTTTGTCAGCTTATTTTTGGTAGGGAAATGGACAGCAGCCCCATAAAATAATATTGAATAAATTAATGTGTTACAACTCCAGCAGAATATTGAAAATGGCTGTAAACAGAAGATTGAGATAAAGGCTTGGGAGTGCATATTTCTAAATTGATTCTCAAATTAAAATCAATTATCTCTCAAAGTAAAAAACGATTCAGTCACTTTTCGGCTTTTCTGAAGATAGATAGATGGAAAATAGAAGATATAACATGAATTGCTTTCAATTAATTGATAATAGTGAACAAACTTAACTCTTCTGATTCTAAAGTAGATAGTTTTAATGGTGACCTTTATTGTAATTTCCATATTGTCACTAGAAAAATGAGAAATTTAGAGAGTGTTTCAACTTTTTTTATGGAATTGTCAAAAAAATTTCAACATTTTTCAACAATGGTCACAGTCATGACTATTCGACAAGGAAAAGTTTTCTTCCGAAGTTATCACTATGTTTATACAAGGGGTTTACAGCATTACAGTTATCATTCTGAGTAGAAACAGATCGTGTTATTCTGAATATTTTGTTATTTGCAAATGTAATTGTAATCTGTATATCCCTTCATTAAGTGGTAAAATTGCACGTCTGGTGAACCTCGTCAATTCACAAATATCTAAATCAAATCAAAGCATGCTTTATTATCTGAAGAATAGAATTCTTATTGAAAAAGCTTCTAAATGTAATAGTACATAAATCGTAACTGCTTAAAATAAGCAGGAGATCATGATAAATAAATTAAATTTAAATTAAAATTATGCAAACCAATATGGATTGTCGGATGTTGAAAGTGGATGAACTCATAAATGTATATATGTATATATATAGTCATGCTACTATAAAATATTTTCACAATACAGTAAAATAGATATAAAAACAGTTTTCTCTAATTTATTCTATATCAATTCGTTATAATTCAAAACAGGAAAGAGTTGTAAGTTGACACATATATACATACACACATATAATAATTTAATAAAATGTTTAACTCTATTTAGTGTTTTTAGTGTTTAACACTATTTAGTGAGAGGCATGGATACGGCATATCTTGTTCTGCTGTCGCAGCTATTCAAAATTTTTTTCAAAACATTCCCTCATATCATAAAACGGTCTTGTGATTGAAAATTTTTTTACTCCCCTTCTGAATTTTGGAGTGCTATGAATATTTTTAATTTGCTTCAGTAGATTGTTGAACATTTTCATACTATTGTAAACAATTGAATTTTGGCATTGGGTGGTTCTGGGGATTAATACAGGTATATATTGGCCATTTGCCATAGTATTATATGCAGTATCAGATTTTAATAAATGTAGTTTATGCTTATGAACTAAACTAGTTGATTCTAACATGAAGATTGATGTTAGCGTGAGTATCCTCTAAGATATAAATAAGGGTTTGCATGAAGTTTGATGATTAACATGGCATATGTATCTCAGTGCTTTCTTTTGTAGATTAAAGATCATTGAGAATAATGCTTGTGAGTAGGCTCCCCAAAATGCTATCCCATATCTGATGTGAGAGTCCAGGAGAGCAAAGTAGGCTTTTCTAGCAATAAAATAACAGATGTCATTTCGAATAACTCTGATAGCATAACACCCAGATGGCAATTTCTTTGCCATTGCCATAATATGCTCATCAAACTTTAAATTATTGTCCAATACAATACCCAAGGATCTATAATTATCAGATTTCATAAGTGTATCATTATTTAGTTGTATTTTGTCGATGTCCCATTTAAATAACAACACTTTAGTTTTCTTAGAGTGGAAGACCATTTGATTGTCATCGCACCACCTTTTTATTTCAGTTAGATCTGAAGAAATCAATTGGCAGAGAATTATTATCTTTAGTGTGCCATTCTATAGTTGCATCATCTGCAAATAAAGTGAACCTACCACTAATATTCAAGTTAGTGAGATCATCTACATATAACAAAAATAATATGGTTCCCAAGACAGAGCCTTGTGGAACTCCGCTGGTCAATTTTTTTTTCTCGGATACTCCACCCGAAACTTTCACATATTGTTCCCGGTCTTTCAAGTAAGATGTCATCCATTTATGGGATATGCCTCTGATGCCATAGTACTCAAGCTTCTGCAGCAGTATTCCATGATTCACACAATCAAAAGCTTTGGATAAGTCACAGAACACCGCCGCGGTCGCTTCTTGATTATTAAATAGAAATATTTAGTAGTAGTAATGTGTACTTATGTTTTCATTGCTCCACGTTTAAGGCAAAAGTTCTTGGTGAAAGCGTCAAATTTAAAAATTAAATGTATATGTAGTTGCGTGGGATATTATCAGCTGTATTTTGACCAATTGGTATTTGATGCCGACTTGACCCTCAGGTGTGATAGTGAAAATCAATTATAATTAATGCAACTTAATACCTGATTTTTTCCTCGAAATACAAAATATAAAAACAAAAAGGTGCAAATAAAGTCCTACTGATGAGGAGAAGATGAAGAAATTCGAATATTTATTTCTAAAAGTCCAGGAAATATAAGACCACTGCATCATACTGAGAGAAATACATTATGTCACCAACTTTTAAGTGCTGCAAAACCAAAGAATGTTTGAGTGTATGCTGTGTACAATGTTTGCATATATTTCATAACAGTTACTTGAACCAAAAATTGCACATGTTGAAATTATAAGGATATTATGTATTATGCTCAAAAGAATGTGCAACGAAGAAGAAAAATGAAGAAGAAAATCTGCATGCCTTAAAAAAATGAACTTCTTGAAAAAAATCTACTGGAAAAATAAATAGAAATAGAATCCTTAGGAAAAAGCCAGGATGAAAAAATGGGGCACCTCTCAAATGTGATCAAAAACCTGAAGGAGAAATCTGAAGAAAAAGATTTTTACATTCAGCGTCTGAAAAGGGCTTAAACTGACTTTCGTGATTACACTGACTTTCGTGAATTACACTGAGGAACAATGACCTAAAGGAATATTGAATACATATATTGAAAACAAACACCTTGCAAGGAAAAATAGAAATACTGATCATAGCAATGAAAGATATGAACAAGAATTTGCGAAAATTTCACGCTTAAATGAAGCTATGATTTTGACGTGCTGACATCTGAAAAAAACCTTTATTTGAAACAACTGAACTTTTAAGAAACTCATAAATTCACCAAGTCATGCTCGACCTTTGAAGTCACCATCAACGAAAACGAAAGGAAACTAAGCAAACAAAATGATATGAATGGAATAAGAAGATCTAAAGAAATTCCATCTGATTATAAAACATACGGAGAATAAAACCACATTCTTCAAAACCTAAAATTCTGATTGTGGTAGGCTTTCTCTCTCTCTCTCTCTCTCTCTCTTTTTGATTCCCATCTACCAGTATTAGTGTTACAAAAACGTGCAATATGATGCATATGTAAAGCCAAACCTAGGGACTCTTGTCTCTTATCAACCTCATTTTGTTTCTAACGGAATCTTAAGAGTGATATTCTTGTTTATATATGGAAAAATTTGTCTAAAAATAGCAACTTGTTCTACGACTCCGCTGAGGCAATTAATTGTATAGCTATTGTATAGAGAAACACATGTTGCATTTTTGTAAAACTGTTTAATGAACATCTCACAATAAAGTGTTTCTTGAATATGATAGTATAACTGACTGTAATAGTTATGGAATTTCATTTCATTGATTCTCTTTTTATATTTTTTAACGTTTTTTTTGGTTATATTATTTACATGTATTTATTTTATCCATGTAATATTCTACTTTGAATACTTGTTTATATTTTTTACAATGCTTCATCAATGAAACTCTTATACACTCAATAATGAACTCTTATTTTTCAATTTGCAGACTCTGGAGAAAACTGGAAGGAGGACGAAAAGGTAGCGATCGCAGCCGTTGGCTGAACTCTCCGAATACATACCAGAAAGTTGAAATCTTGGAAACTGGAACTGCCGATCCTAAGAAGATTACAAAGGTAGAATACATAAAAATTGAAAGCAAAGAATAATTTATTTCCTATATAACTCCTTTCCAACAAAAAAATGGACACTAGTGTCAATAAAGTTGGTCATTTTTGAGACTGGTTGATTTAAGTTGAATTCTATCCAAAAATGTTTTATTCATATTTGACATCGATTCATAATTTTTTTTTATTCAAACTATTTTCAAATACAGAGATTATAATTGAATGAATGTATTTACTAAAAATTTTCTAATAGAAAAATAATTTTTCATAATATTATAATTTTAGTTCCCTTCTCAGACAGAAAGGTGTGGTTTTTCGAAATCAACTCATATCAATCATTCTATGTAATTAACAATATTCTGCACCTGGTTTTGTCTAATTATTAATCTTAGGATGGGATAACGTAGATTACATAAAAATTCATATTGCATGATCAAATGTTTCAATACATTCCAATTATAATTAGAGCTTAGATCTTGAATCAAGAAATATTTCAGAAACAAGTATGTGGGTCAGATCCACTATATATTTAGTAATATGCTAGAAATGATTTAGATCTTATCATTTATATGCTAACTTCCTGTCGATCACAAAGCTTGCTTGCTTGCAATAATGGGTTAATATCATTGATGCCGTTTTGGGGCATTTCATGAATCGTAATTCTTGTTCCATGAAATCTTCATAAGACTGGTGAGAAATACTGTTTGTTTCACAATTTTCAAAATATGACATTGAAAGATTACAAATCGAAAAAAGGTTTTAAGGTGAATTGAAGATTTTTTTAAATCAATATCTAGTGCAGAATTTATCAACCGTGGAAAATAAACACAATGAGAAAACAATGTACTCAAAATATATACCTATATGAAGATATTGAAACTGAAATTGAAGTATTGTCCTGAAATGAAAATAATTTTTTGACTCTCAGAAATCAATTTACCTTCCTGACTTTATTCTGCTTTTTTCTATTCATCCATGAATTGTATAATATTTTGCATAATGTTATTTCATTATTGATTATATATTCATAATTTATAAATTTTCGAACCAGCTTTTAATTTAATTGAGATATTCTATATTGTTATTTTGTATTAATAAGAACTTGAGAACAAAACTTTTTTGAAAAATGTGCCATTTATTTTTTAGAGATTTATTTTTATGTAACATATTTTTATCAACCTTCAACTGAAATGAATCCTTAAATCTGCTTGAGATAAAATAGAATTTAATTTGATAGCCATTTATTTGTTATACTCTTCAGAATGAAAACCAATAAATTCATATTTCAGAATATTGAGTGGGAATATGGAATGTGAAGATGAGATTTTATTGAGACTATTTTGAAAATATATAAGTTTTATTCTAGAAGTGGATTTAATGGGTTTAAGAGTGTAAGATTAGTAATATTCCAGCAGTGTAATTTGTGCATTAATTTTAGTGTGCATATTATATGTATGATTAACGTTTCAAAATGCTTGGCTTCAGTAATGAATAAATTTTTAAATAATAAGTTAGTATCAGTCACACCCAAATCCTCTCATATTTAACGGTAGTTAATATATTGATTTTTACAATTTAATCATCACCAAGTCATGTGAATATCACATTTATAAATTACTTCATATAAAAGTCATCATTCTGTAATGAATAAATCATTAATCGGTTGTAATAACTCTTATTTTCTTGCATCTGTTTGTGCAACTTTCCTCACATGCATGCCATTTCCAGTATCTACTTTTCAGATCGTTTTTACGATGTATATTGAATTGTTAAATTCATCCAATGGAGTGGCAAAACCAGCACATTGTGTATTGTATGTTCTTACATTCTCATCTTTATTGTTACGAACTGAATCATATTATTCCAACTACTCTGAAATATTCATACAATAAATATTGTTCATTGGATGACATGATGACTTCCCAAAGGAGAAAATCTTTCAAAATTAATATTTTTTTCAACTGTACCATCTCTAACATTACTAATGTGCTGGTTTTGTCTTTCAGTGGGTTGCGGATGGATCCCCTAGCCATTCAACGCCAGTGAAAATAGACGATGCCCTTCAGTTCGTTCCTAAAGGCACCAACCCCAAGGAATTCAAACAAAAACAGCAGCAGGTATGTGCCACAAAAATATTATTAAAGTATGAAATTCATGTTTTAACCAAATGAAATTAATTCCTCCTATAGATTAAAGATTATAGAAGAGCCGACAAGATATCTGCCGGACCTCAGTCCCACATTTTGGAGGGTGTAACATGGGAAGAAGCCAAGAAAATGCAAGATGCTACAGTAACTCAAGCTGGCGATCACGTTGTTCTTATGGGTGCAGCGTCTAAAGGGATTATCCAAAGGGGACACCAACACAATGCCATGGTATACAAATCACCGTATGCAAAGAATCCGTTCGATTGTATAACCGACGAAGAACTTGACGAGTATAAGAAAGTTGTTGAGAAAAAAGTCAAAGGAGATTGTGAGTAAATCTTGGATATATGAAATTGAGAACTTTTGATCATCCGAAAAGAATAGTAAAGTCATATGAATGAAAATTTTAATAAATCTGTCTTTAATTGTATTGCAATATGAAAATTAAGATATGAACCTGGTCAATATGAACTGTTTTATATATTTTCCGTTTGAAGTTGTCACTATTATTAAAAAAAATGTTTTTTGAATGTAACTGAAAACTTTTAGAATCCACTTAAATTCATGCTATAACTATTAAAATGTACAATAAAACTATAATACACCACCCAAAACATGATGATTCACATTCTTGAGTTTCTCTAACTAATGAACAAAGCAACTAATGGAAATGTATTATTTTTCTGAATAAATTACCATTATTTGAGAAACAACATTTAAGTGCAAGTTCAAGTAAACTTTAACGTATAAAGGTTGAGTCACAAGTAACAAGACACGAGTGATCTGCAGATTCACAGCATGAATAATCATTGAAAATATGTGACTCACCCTGTATACCCTAAAATGTTCATGCTGCCATGTAGTTAATTGTAATTGAAATCTATATTTAATTTTTCTGATGTGTGGCTTTAAAAAAGCTGTAACGATTTCTATGAATAATAATGATGGCAATTTTTGCAAACTAGCATTTTTTGTAAACTTTGCATTTTTTTGTAGATGATACAGATTTTAGCGAATCCGAGGGTCTTTCATCCGCAGCATTAAATAAAAGAATGGATGAGGTGCACATAAGATCTCCCACATCTGTAACTAGTGAAACAGAGGAGGAAAGCCGAGATGGTAAGCTAAAATTCTATTTATTGTAAAGTTGGATACTTTATACTCTATGTACTTGTCATTAGTGTCAGTTGTCATATTAATTTTTAAGATGTTACTTCAACTGAATATTAAGAAATCCCAATGGAAAAAATACAATGAAAATAGTAAAGAAAACTCAAAAACGGGCAATATAAAAGGTATGTTCGTTCAATTCAAATCTGAGTGCCTTATCAGCTCACTTCGCTCAGCAAGTGTTTGATAATGTAGGTCTGTTGTTTCAGTTACATCTGCTCTGTATTCAATGTCAAGAGCCATGAAAAAATGTGATTGGTTAGCTCCTAAGTCAATATTAGGAATAAACAGATTTTTTAGTTGTAAGTTTCATGTGTGAAAAAAAAATTGTTTGCGTTTTAGGTATTTTGTATTTTTTAGGTTTTAGGTATTCCTATCAACATAATGGAAAAAAATTACAAATTATCATTCTGTTGTAAAAAAAAATTCATCGATCATGTTAGATGAATAATAATAATAATAATGGTCTTTATTGGGTGAAATAGAATATAACATCCAAGAGGCAGAGTTGAAAACTGCAGTGTAGAACACTACTTTGAATTACATGAAAGAAAAATTCTTTCGAAACAAATACTTTTATATGAACATTGAATTATACCAAAAAACACTTTTCTCTACTCAGTTTGTATTCCAAACATCCATTATGGAATTAAATCAGATATAATTCACAGGATTTCTACACAGTATACTAAATGAAAGGTAAAAATTTCACTTACATGCAACACGGTCATCCTCACTAGTAGACATCGATGTTTCGCAACTTGCCTTAGGGCATATTATAATATAATCCAGATTGGCATTGAAGAGCGCTTAGGCAAGTGTCTTACGGCGAAACATCGATGTCTACCAATGTGGAGGACAGTATTCCATGTAAGTGAAATTTTTACCTTTCATTTAGTATAATGTGTAGAAATCCTGTATATGATATCTGATTTAATTCCATAACGAATGTTTGGAATACAAACTGAGTAAAGTTTTTTTGCTATAATTCAGTATTCATATAAAAGTATTTGTTTTGAAATAATTTTTCTTTCATGTAATTCAATGTTTATATGAAAGTAGCTGTTTCAGGAGGGCTTTTTCTTCCAGTTTTTGTCTGAAAGTTATTTTTTTGCATGATCTACACATCTATGTATAGAGTTACTTATTTTAAAATTGATTGCTTCCTTCCTTCTTTTTTTTTGGAAGATTCCCACTTTTTTTATATCAAAATGGAGTAGTAGAAAGACAAAAACTTTCTTTTCCAGAAATTAGTTACTCCTAAAAATATACCCCTTCAATTTATATTTAATGTTCTTCAATATTTCAAGACTATTGTGAATAAATATGAAAATCATTTTTTGTTCTCTCATTCCGATACTGCAAGGAGTAAAACTAATTTGTTTTTGAAAAAACAACATATTTTTATTGATCGATCATACAGAATTTTTTATAAAAATTGTATAAAATAAAACCAAAATTTTTTTCAGAACCTCAAATATTGCGAATAGAAACTAAAACGGCTCCAAGACCTAGTCAACCAGAAGTAGTTTTAAGTGATGGTAAGTTTACTTCATATTTTGTTGTTTTTATTTGTTTGGGTATTGTAAACGTTGGTGTAGAGCTTTTTACTCATGTTCTGGGGAAATACAACTTTAGTGACAAATATCATTTTCAAAGTGTTTTCTGAAAAATTTAGTTATTAAAGCTGAAACTTTTCACCAGTATATTATTTTAAAAAATGATGGAATGAGGGTAAGTGTTCATTGCTAAAGAAATGTTTGCAATATAGATGTCATTATAGCTGAATACACTTATCCGTTTGATTTCAGAGGAAATTGTTGATGATTGTTTTCCAGCATTTTTCACAGGTTCCCGTATTTTTCATTTTGAAACTTTTAAGATATATTTTTTCTGGTGGTTTTCATCTGCAGTTGATTATAATTCGACTTGATATATTTCTTATTTTATTTAGTGTGGGATGATGCTTTTTATTTGAGAGTACTGAAAAATCATAAAATGTAATAAAATTTAATAAGTATGTTGACTATTTAACGAGCATTGTTCAAATTCGTTCATTATCACAATGTAGGTTTTGATATTTGTTAATTTTTCAAATCAAATGCCTATATTCTTCAAGTCTCATAAAGGTGAATATTATAATTTTGAAGTAATAAAAGAAAGTGAACAAATAAACATGTGAATTATTGCTTTTGTGAACAAATTGTCAACCATAAATGTCAATACTACTCGGCAAAGTCTAACTGTTTAAAAATATCCATTATAGGTTAGATCTAAAGTGAGTGGGTCTATTCGACCCTCCACCGCAAAACGCAAGGGATTATTGTGGCTCTCCATTATAGGTGGAGTAAGTTAGGTTAAAGAAACTGCATAGATATTACTTTTGAATAATATAGCTTTTGGCAAAGAAGTTTGTCATATTATGCATTTTAATTGGTGTCCATTTTTAATTGGCTACTTGTGCACACATCAGATTTGAAAGGTCGATAAAAGTTTGTCAGTCAAATTTCATGAATGAGTCTGGACAGACGTCGCTGCAATCATGAAGTGTCTTTTGAGAATTGATGTATATGCAAGGATTCATTTATTTCTTCATGCCAAAATCGGAATTTGACGTTCGAATTTTTATCGACCAACCATATTCGAAATGTGTGCAAGTAGCCTTACATTTTGATCAGTACATAAAAAACGAATTCCATTGTATTTTTTTGTTTTAACTATGGAATAAAGTCAAATTGAGGTTTGCCTCATATTATTTATATCTGTGTAAAAAATGATGGCAAACATATCCAACAACATATTTTTTATTACTTTGAAAACAATCATTATTTAACATTTCACTTCATGTTAGAAAAAACTAGATTAGTCCTTATGATATATTTGAGTGTTAAATTTTGCATTTACAAGACGTTTATATACTTAAAAATATTTTTTTTTGCTTTTGGTGCTTGCTGTAGTAGATATTTGTTTGGATTAGTTGTGTGTTAGTAGTGCTTGTATCTGTGTCAATTTCAGAAATGGTTTTCAATCAACATAGGATTTTATTTTCGATTTATTTTTATT